TGATATTAATATCATAAATACGTGATAAATTACAGAAGATTATCATGAAAGGCACAACTTAAAATTTTGTGGAAGATTTATGGAATTTTATCACATCGTGATTAGAGGAAAAAGATATTATTGATATGTAATCATCGCATTTAATTAATTCTCCAACTTCAAATTACAATAATAACGATAACTAGAATGAAAAATATCAAAATGACTTGTGTCAATTATTTAATTTAATCTTAATACTGTTATAGATTTTTCTTTTGTTACTTATATTATTAATTACTTTTGTAACATAAGTACTATAAAATCGAATTTTTCTTTAAGTCTGTAGATTTCTTTAAAGATTTCTTTCGCCTGTACTTAAGAGTATGACATCTTTTGTCTTGTCTTTACACGATCTCTCCTAAAAAAAAAAAAAGAATTATGATTACTTACAAGAATGATATAAAAGTGTTTATAAATAAATGTAATAATAAATTATTATAAAAAAGTTATTTATATTTTGTAACGCGTCTATCGTATATTTTTTTGACATTTAATACAAACCAAGAAGAAAATTCAAAACAGCCTTTATAAGCTTTTTTATATGTATAGTTATTTGAAACATTGCCCTCAAATTTCAACAATAAACGTGGATTTTCGGTATGAGTGATTGTTTCAGATTTCACGGTTAGTTTAGTTAAAAATACGAATAAAAGGCCAATAAATTGTTGTAAAACATACGCTATCATATAACAACTAATATAAATTCCTATTAAATGAAAAAAAGCTGGAAATAGTATTCTACAAACTTTCTTTAATTAATAAAAAATTATTTCCTTTTATTAATTATTTCTCATCATTTGACAAGACACATCTACTTTGTCGTAATATTGTAATATCTTATGCAAATTAAATAATGTAAAGTTAATAACGTTGACGATATATTTATAATGCCCCCAATACATCTTAAGAATTTTTCAAGAATTTCTAAAATTGTACAAAGTATTCTACAGTTTTTTAGAATATCTCCGTAAATTCAACAGCTATTCCAATAATTTGAGTAGGAAAAAGAAAAAAAATTACTTTCCGTTTAATTACTTCCCGTATTATTATATTATCCCGATGCGATAAACCCCACGAGATCTTGCGGAAGCTCGAGCTTCCCTTCCAGTGCCCCGTGCGAAGTTCATCGGAGCGTTTTTGCAAATCGTTTACGCCGGAATCATGAATCCCGGGGCTTTTTGACGGCACATTTGCGAGGGACGAGCGCTCGTAACGCGCGCGACGTCATGAAGTCGAATTTACCACACCACCACGACGTATGATGGAGCTTAAGTCCGCACGATTGCGAAAATAGAATATTAACGGCGGTGCAGAGCCCGCCCCCCCACCCACGGCGTTCTGCCTCTATCTACAAAATCGACACGCAGTACATACATTTTACGCGGCCCGTTTGTTCCCCTTTTTTATTGCAGGCGCATATCGAATATCGCCACGGTGAAATGGCCCGTGCTCGCGACGTACACACGACACACGTCGCTCGACGACACATGCGTAACTCACTGCGTGTGCTACGTTGTGTTACGTTTTCGAAATCCTGTTTCACTAACATTCGCAAATTATCCGCGTATTGCCTGCCGAGGATGCCACGTCCTGCTTACGGGCTACGTATATTTAGCATTGACGCTCTTACGCCGACACAAGTGACGCCCGCTGTGCTCAATATACCTCAATGTACCTCGTTGCTTTATGGGCGTACTAAGATTTTTATTACCGTTGAAAAAAAGGATGGAAAAGGCTTATCTGATAAATCCGTCTGAATTTATCCTGTGTAAATATATGTTGAATAAAGAATGAATTAGAAATTAATTATAGAAAATGTGTCTTAATTATAGAGAATTTTACGTGCTTTACAAAAACACTTCGTAGTTGCGACCTTTGGCGAGCTACATGAAAATCAAATGTTAACACGTTGCGAGTCGATAATGAACTTAATCCAATTAACCTCATGAATATTCCGATCGGTCGAGCGAGAGAATAATAATAATTCGGATTGCTACCGCGTTCCAAACTTTTCGAATTAAAGTTAATGCTCCCACGACAAAACAAAAAATTGGCGTGTAATGTAAAACATGGTAGGTGTACAAATGTATATTTAATATATAAATATATATACACTTTAATTAACAGGCTTCTGTATTAATATATGCTGACATTTCAATCTCTTCGTATCGGAAGAAATCGGACTCATTCTCGTGAAATCTAGCATCGGATAGCATTCAATGGAGCGACGTGTTTCTGATAAGTGGGATACTTCCTGAGAGCTTAATGACTCGGCGTATTGCTTTTTGACTTCTAGGAAATTCTTTCCGAGATTCATCGAGTTTAATACACGAGTAGTGAGGAATTTCGCTCATAGAATATAAGAGTCAGATTATAAGAAGCTTAGCGATTTATAAAAGCAGAAGGAATTATGCTAGTTATTATACATATTTTATATTTATTCCTCGAGAATTTAATTAATAATGTAAGAATTTTTTATTAAATTAATTTTATACCTCTGCCCTTTCTCCCTCTCTCTTTTTTAAATATCTTTGGAATTTGAAGAAAACCGAAACGCTTCAATCTCGAGACGTAACACACTTTCCATTAGACATCGAACATAGAATATTGCGCTAAAAAAAAGAACGATCGAGATAATTTGTGTGCCGCCTTACAGAAGAAAGGGTTATATCGTCGAATTTCACGTCATGAAGTCGCCATCATAAAATTATACTGAACGTGAATTGTGAAGTTGACGAAAACAACTCGACATTCAGATGCGTAATTCGGTAACGATTCTCCGTGCGCGTTAGATTAAATCGTCAGTGGATCGCCCGTTTATTGTCTTACATTGTGAAGGGCCGCGATAGTAATTGACAACAAAAGCAACTTGTGCCACTCTCTTCCTTTTTCTGATGACTTAGGTTTTACGACTGGCACGCGAGGCCACTCTCCTTCGTGATGAAACAGCGCTGTTGACATAATCCTTGCGCTACGTGATATTGAACTTCTCGATACACTTGACGATGCACTTGACGCTTCGACGTTCCAAAATAGCCAAAAGTTTATTATCTGGGGTGATTTGCTACTATTCTCGTCGACGAATATGAGGAGTAAATCGGCTAAACGTAATATTCTCTGAGCCAAGATAACCGTTGCCGTTATGCAGAGTAATTCTGATGGGAATACAAATATTTTGCCAAGATATCCCAGACCTATTGTAATCTTAAAGGAAAAATATTGTATTAATCATATAAATTTTATTCTCAATAAATAAACAAGACCTTTCTCATTCGAAATTAGTTGTGGAATCTATTGACAGGATACCCCCTTCGAGATCGCTTCGTGTTTTCCTTTCGTTATCGAAACGCCCTCGGAATTGCCGCGCGAGAAAAGAAATGCCGTCGACGTTAAAAGCCTCTTCTCATTCTCCGCGCCGGTATCATAGGTTTTGAATCCCTATTTACGAGTGCAAATTGCAGGGTGTAATTAGGAAGGCTATTAGCGGATACGTTCGTTATAGTATTGCGCCTTTATTGACACGATCCGCAAGCGCCAGGTGCGCCGCCGCCCTTTCTTACGTGCCGTGCGGTCCGACTGCGATCGTCCTATCTACTTACGACGCGCCATGCGATTATCTGTACTACTTGCGGCCGTCCGGCCGATCCGCCGGAGTACTTGTTGCGCTTTTCTTGTGCGCCACGCGGTGGACACCCCGGTCCACCACCAGGTAATTCAAAAAGCACGAAGATTCCGAAACGCGCTCTCGCCTCGATGAGAGACGGGGGAGGGGGGGGGGTGTGCGCGCGGTTTCATCTCCGCAAAAGATTGTATTTATATTTATAGTTTTGCACCAAGAAATGTTTCTTGGTGCGCGAGACGTTATTGCGGTCTTTCTCCAGATGATATCTAATTACAAGTCCTGCGGCCACATGGCCGAGACTTGGTATTTGGACAAGTTACAGGCGCGAGCAATAACGCTAGATAGCCAATTCTCTGGAAGCATGTTGTATGTCTTAAAGTATAATATTATTACGATTTTTCTGATTAGTTAATAATTATATTTGATCTAATATAGATTATACAAAAGCCGATAGATATATTGTAAAGCTAACTAAGTTGGGAATTTTTAAATATGTAATTATGTTAAAATTTGTTATTACGTTGGAAAATAGAAACGGAGAAAAATAGACATTTCTTTTTCATATGTAATTATTGGAATCTGCACGTCATCAGCGACCATTCATTGCTTGGGCTAAAGCAGATTTCAACTAATTGGAGAATTTTTTTCTCGCAAAGTTTAAAGGAATATCAGGAATCTAATTATCTTATTCGTATGTGTCATTTCTTTTTTTTTTTATTTACGAAAAGCAATTGCGAAAAGCTACAAGCATAAAAATTTTCTCTGCACATTTTTCTCGCATATCAAATTTCTAAATGCACGCTATTTATATAACATGTACTCTTTATACTCGGAAACCAACGAACATGAATATCATACATCGTCATAGATGCGGTTATATTGTGTTATTGAGCCATAAATTTTGTATGTGTATTTCTACGCACTTCAATGAAGTAAATGCTTAAAGAGTAGCAAACACTCCACATACATTTATCAAAACACAATAGTTTGCAAATTCCATGCAATGGAAAATGAAAAAGCTTCGACAACAGTTTAATCTCAATCTCGCACAAATTCATAACAAGACATTAATTATTCCTTAATTTCAAGCCAATTAAATATCAAGCACAATTTATTTTCTCACAGTTTGATGCTTGATTTCGAAGATTTTTAATGTAGAAATTAGTCAACTTTTAATGTAGAGTGTTAGAGACTTTTAATGTAGAATTAATGTAATCAAAGGATCTTAGGCGAAAAGAGTGACGGAACACACATACCAGAAACTTTCGAATATAATAGGTGCATGTATATTAAATATAGGACTAAAAATCATGGATAAATTTTATTTTGTAAAGTATGAAACTATGCGAGAAAGAATTTTAATTGAAGTAGCTGAGAGAATTTTTTCCTTAAAATTAGAATTTTTCGACATTTCGTTGAAACAACTGTTCTCTAAGTAATCAATTTTTAAATAATCTTTGATTCATCCGGATTAAATACCCTTCGATATCTAGTTAAGACTAACATCAAAATCCCAGTGTTATGGTAAATTTCCAATTAAATCCCACCCACGACGATTGTTTTCGTTCGCTCGCACGAAGTTCGTCACCATCGCAGGTGCGCATACGAAGGGATGGCGTTGCTCAGCCACCCCACCATGCACCATCGTAGAGCTTGTCGCTGTATATAAAAGCCGTGGTCGCGACTCTCCAGCTTTGAGTTCAGTCGCCGATCCTTTCGATCGAAATCGACCTTTTTTTCGTGAGCAGCAAGGATCCCTAAAAATTTGGTGAACGCGTGCAGAACACATTCATAATCTGAAGCGGTGTTTCGCTTGTCTCTGAAAGGGTGAACGGAAGTGATATACGTACATCTTTCGTACATTTTTCGAGTGTATAGAAAAAAAGAAAATAAAATTCTCAAAAGGAGAAAATCGCCAACGAAGTAAACTTCATAATCAGTACAATAATTTTGATATAATACTTCATTTGATTTCTTTATTATTATTTGTTTTCTTAAACATTTAAAAGTCTAAGCAATAAACAAAAATTCAAAACTATTTTAAATTAAAAATATTGCTCGAAATTTTCAAATAAAAAAATATATCTAAACAAAAAAGGCACATTTATAAAAGCATATTTTGTTTTATATACAAAATTATAATTAAATTTGAAAATAATTTCATATACAATACATATTTTATATTTAAAAAAATTTACGCTATTGCAAAATAATATATTCAAATTACGCGTATATAATTTATATTATATAATAATAATTTATTGCATGTAATTAATATTAATTAATGAAAACGTTAACTTCTATTAACTTTCTTCAAAAAATAATATATCTTTGCTTCTTTTTTTAAAAATATATTTGAGTCAAGGTCGTAAAAGTTGAAATATTTCATATAATTAAATTATAATTAACTCTTTCTTTCAAAATTTTTCTGTAAATAAAATTTTTATTTTAAAATTTTATTTAAAAATACAATTTTTTTGTTAAAGAATAAACTGACTTCCAGGCGGCAAATAACCTTAGGGTACGTTTCTGGAACGTATCTATTCGTTCGTTTATATAGCGAAGTATCGACTGAAAATATCACATGGCGTTGACTTTGAAAAAACCTTGCGCTTTGACAATCCTCGTGAAGACTTGTATCGTCATGTTAATCTTCTACTTCGCCGGATGTGCAACTGGTAGGTACAATACATTTTCCATTTCTGATTAAAGCTCTGTTTCATAAATTTTTTTGTTATTTATAAATGTTATTTATAAATTTTTTGTTATTTATAATTTATAAATATTGTAATTATATGTAAAAAATATTTTAGTATTTTTCTTTGATATATATATAACAAAACAATAATATAAAAAAAAATTGAATTCCAAAATTTTATTACGTGTTTAATTTTATTGTGAAATAAAGATAATAAAAGACTTTTTAAAATTACTTTATTATGCAAACAAAAATGAAAAATAACATTTTTTGTTTACTGAATAATTAATGTAATTTTCGTAAACAGAAAAGTTTTATGTAGAATAAAATTATTTGTATATTTCTGATGCTTAAATAAATTTGTTAATATGTTAAATTTATAAAATTCCAATTTTTTTATTACATATTACATATTGATTACGTATTACATATTGATGCTTTCTATTTATTTAAGTTTATTATTATGACAGCTTTATATGTATATATAATCAAAACGCGCATTTTAAAATTAGTCTGTATTCAAAATAATTTTTTTGTTTCAAAATTTTTTTTCAAAAAATCAAAAATAAAATTAATATCTATATTTCTAAGATCTATATTTGGATATTAGTCTGTCTTAATAAAAAATTATTTAATTGTGTATTTAGATTTTACTTTGAATTCAATTGGTATTTTAATTTAAAACAAAGTTCTGAAATTAATCAACACGAAATATCATTTTCCAGAAATTATAGGCTGCTATTACATAATATCTATAAAATAGCATAACCAAAGTAAAGATAAGACAAATGCAAATTTCATAACGGTTGCATTTTATTATTCTTCAACCACGATTATATTTTTTCATAAAAACCTATGTAGAAACTTGAGTGCTCATTGGATGGCATGTTCATGTTAGTAGAAATGCATTTAAATAACTGAGAAAATGTTTATTGCATTTCGTTTGTGCATTGGATAGAAAGTAATTATTCATGACATTGCAATATCTGTGGACTGTTCTCAGATACATGATCATTAATTTAAGATAAAAGGATATAAGCTTATTATAGCGTTCACGAAACGCTAAGTGGATTATCATGAGGAAAGCTATAATATAAAATGTCGTCTTTAATTCGCCGTACATTAATTCGACATTACAGTAAATTGGAAAAGTTTAATTGATACATATTTAAAATTTGCATATATTACATATTTTTTATGTTTATTTTTTTCTGAAATTTCGGGTATATAAATTACAAGATTCTGAATAATTACTATTTTGTACAATTAATACTATACTAATACGTTGTTAACACGTTGAATTATTAAAAGTTTAATAAAAATTCTTAGATGTATAAATACATTATGATATTATTTATTACAGTAATACGAAAATTCATGCGTTTGGAAATAATCTTCGGATTTTTATATAGAACAACATTTGAAAGTTACTAAATCTCAGTATATATAAAAAAAATCTCATATATTTAAAAAAAGCAACTAAAATAACAGAAATAAAAAAATTAATATTATGATAAATATAAAATATTCCAGAATTACTTTTTTCTAGTTATCAATCTTTTACTGTTATTATGATTGTGCTTTACTTTGATCTTTTTAAAAGGTTTTTGTTATTAGTTTTTATTATTACTTTTAATGCTTGATTCTTTAACTATAAAATGCAAGAAAAATTTTTTTAGATTTACGCATGATATGACCCATGAAGAAATATATCGTAATTATAGCTTATTGCTTGTCTGTTCCGATTCTTTCACATTAATCATTCAAAAATAACAATAATATAAATCAACATACTGTTAGAGATCTTTAATCAATTAATTACGTAACATTTTAATTATATTTATTGGAAATATCTCTGATAGATATATGCAATACTTTCACTTTACAATCGTCTAATATTTTTTTAGCTAAATCTATAGAATAATAGAGAATATGGGAAAAGATTTTTTTAAGTTTTTATAAGTTTTTTATAAAAAAACACAATTTTGAAATAGTATATAAATATATATATATTTTTTTTATTTTAAATGCAAAAAAATTTTGTATTCTTTTTCTTTTTTATGGATTAAAGTTAGCCTAGAGCAAAAATAGACTACATTTCGAATATAGTGCTACAATGTCCCGAATGCGATGAGATTGAAATTGAATCCAAACTATCCCCAGCGAAAACCTGAACTATTACACTGCCACAGCCGTCCGCTAGCCGCCTCCTTAATTATCACGAGCCTTTGTGTGAATAAGACGTATCTTGAGTACGTCAAGGATCATCGAGTTGACAAAGAGAAATATAGTGTCTAAATTGATTCCAGCAAAAACCAACATAAGCTTTGAGAATAAAGTCGCGCGCGGCACTCAAAATCCCTTGATACATATGCCTTGCATAAAGAAGATGGGTCAAATATACATATCTCGATGGATAAAAGCGAATTTTTTTCTCGTTTACATTCCGCATTTTGCACCTACTTATTCCGAATAAAGAACACGCACCGAAAAGGTAGAATTGCGAAAGCAACACCTACGAACCTTTTCAGCTAACGAGTCGCGAACAAACATCCACGCTTCTGATTTTGTTCATTCCGCTGCAACCACTCTCGATGAGTATTCTTTTAATCCGACTATGGTAGTTTCAATTACTTCTTACTTATTCGTAGGAGGGTTTATCGAGATTCTATTCAAATTTTTAACGCGCGCGGATTTTTAATCCAGAACCATTTTACAAATAGAATTGTCGATGTAGATATAGGAGTACGTTGAGGCAAACATTGATTGTTACTATATGAGAATATTCAACCTGAATTTGACCAAAATATTATACATATATATTTAATTACGTTATTATTTTAATTTTATAGCGTTTGATATCCATGATTATTAAGGCGTTAAGAATTATTTCATAATCTTTGCTCTCTTAGAATATATTATTTCTCAAAATCTTGCAAATCTTTTATGATGAGAGCATAATAGAATTTGAGCTCTAAAACGTGACGTTGAACGAAATCATAATAAAGTTATAATAGAAAATCAATTACAGCTTTTACAGCTTATTATCTATCCTAGCATTCATTCCATACAAGGAAGGATAAATTGTCGAGGCAAGCTTCTCTATATTGCCTGTGGATGATGCACAAGATCGTTCTTAGTATGGAACATCGTCTAGGAGATATAATAGCAATAAGAGTTCTCAAATAAATGTTTATTACATTCTCTCTCGCATTGCACCGAATACGTTACCTATTTTATCTGCAAAAGAGTGACGGACGCGTCATAAAGTTATCTTTTACAACTTTAGTCAAATTTTACATTCGATTGTCATTCCACTTTATTTCATTTTTATCTAAAATTAAATCTCCAATATTTTATTATTTGTTTTTTATGTAACAAAAGTTAATAGATTTTTAAATTTAAAAACAATAATTAGATAAAAGGACTGGCAATAATTTATATTATTGTTGAAGGTAGCTCAAAATTGTGTCAAAATGTCCATACATAAAATAAAATTTGTTTATTAATTTATGTACCGAGATTCATGCCTGACTTTCACTTTTATTTCTAATTATTGTTTCATTATTTTGTAATTTAATATTGCATATAAACAAATATTTATCTATATTTTTGTTTTTGTTTGTTAAAATATAATAGTAAGAATAAAAAATTTAATTATTAAATATATTAACAATAAAATAAATAAATATTAGTTTGAAAATTATGTTTAATATTGTATAATACATACACTATTATTTAACGCAGGGTCCTGTACAAACTATGGACATTCTTGTTGGGGAGGTACGTAACACTATTAATAAATATATAAATATATAAATAATTAGTAAATATTTTTATTATAATCTTTATTATAATGAAACGTCTTTCTAGTATCGATACATTTCCGTTTAAACATTAATAATGTTTTATAAGCGTTATCTAAAAATATTGTAGCGCACGGGAAACGCAACATCCAAGGTGCATCCACCATTTTAGATTCCGCAGCTGAGACTCCGCTAAACGGATCTCCGCAAAATAGCATCGCACCTACCTCCAAGATGCAGTGGATTCTATCTCGTTTGATAGAATCTCATGGACAGCCCACATTGACAGATAAATATCGCGATAGATGGAACGGCTTTCCTAAGGATAAATCATACATCCCACCAAAGTGGGACCACGATACAGCATCGATGACTGACGAAAGCATTGAGTCCATCAGGTGAGTTTGTCACAAGAAATAAAAGGATGGTAAACGATGATTCCTCACGATGAAAAGTTACACATATTTTTAAACCTTCTAAAAAATTTATACATTTAACACATTTTTTGTTTGTAAAAATCATGTAATTAATCTATTTTAAAAATATTTTTAGAAAACATTTTTTTTGTATCTAGTTAAGGAATGTACGTAAAATCTGAATATACTTTTTTGTCTTTGAAATTAAATTTGCAGAGTTTTATTTAATTTAACTTAATTAATTCGGATTTCTTTGTTAATGTTCAGAATTAAATAATTATAAAAAACGTGAAATATATAAGCAACTAAGAATCAAGTTAAGCGCTGCTAACAGTACACAAATGTTTGATGGATATCATTTAAATATTATTAATTATATCAATTATTAATTTAATTATATTAATTAATATTCAATTAATGTTAAAATTAATAGAATTAATTTAATTATATTATTATATTAATTATCTATATTAATAACATATCCGAACATTTCGGCTCATTTTAGAGCCATTATCATCGGAATAAAATATACGATACAAAAAAATAAATCACCGAACTTGAAGTCTCATAGTGAAGATTCAGTATTATAAATGGATGTCAGATTATATGCTCAGGACGGTTGCGTCATTCAGTTTTGCAACCATCGTGAGCAAATAATCTGACATTCGTGATGCGATCTTCTATCGGATTTCAAGTTTGACGATTTCTTTTTTATATTTTATATTTTATTTTGTTAATAATAGCTCTAAAATAAGCAAAAAATTTATTATTGTTGTTGTTATTGTTGTTGTTGTTGTTAATAATTAACGTAATTAAAAAGATTTTCATCAAACATATGCGCACTGTTAACAACGCTTGATTCTTAGTTGCTTATATTTCGTGTTTTGACCTTGTCAAGATTTCTTTATTATTCTATTGATTTTATGTAGAAATAACGTAAATAATTATAATTGCTCAAAGCAACATTTTCTTTAAAAGTTGTGCCTAAATTATTTAAATAACGAAATTATATTTATCTTGAAATAATTTTATACTATATGTGCGACAAAATATAAACGTAATTGAATGAACTAGTGAATTAAATATTTAAAGATATCTAGCTTACAAAAAATAATGACAAAGTTGCACGTAGATTTATAGAAAGAAAATACGGTTTACAATTGACAAATTTTAAAACTTCCTCGGTGATTCTTATTCCAACTTTTATACCTTATTTTGCGAACAATTAGAATCATAAAAACTTTCTAACACTTTAATTAAGAAATAATATTACATTATGATAAGGACGATTTAATTTTTAATGTTATTATCTTTACGTTCATTGAATACAATTTTCTGTATGTTTCTTATTTTTTATCTTTTTTTATCTATTTTTATTTTTTTGTAAAAATATCTTGAAAAATATTACCTTTTTTCAAAAATAAACAGAAATTGTAAAATAATTTGAATATAAATTAATGTGTATATTCAAAAATATGTGTATATTTTTCAAAATTTTATCAATACTTAGTAGACTAACATAATAACCGATACATATTTGCAGAATTCCAATTAACAACGAAAGGAAAATTAACAATGCTCAAGGTCCAATGTGTAATATGAACAAAAGATTTGAAAACAATCCGGAAATTTTATTAATTTCGCCTGACGAATATAATAAGCCAATTAACGATCCTCAAAAATTAAATATACTTAACTTTCTGGTACGCTTTATAATATAATTAACAGTTATTAAATTTTTATATTAACTAATCTATTTCTAAATGTTAATTTATCAAATACTTACGTATGTTTAATGATTCAATATTCCTTTTCAGAACGAAGGAAATGAAGGTACGAAATAAACGGAATATAAAAGACTGCAAGATATTGCGATGAAAAGGAGTTTTCAAGGAACAGGTCTTACCATTGAAGTGATAATCTAGCAATTCTCTGTAAAAAACATGTTTTCGTATTAAATTCCGATTTGATTTGGTGTGTTCTTTATCTGGATAATATAAATCCTCACTTAGGAAACGATATCATCTCTAGTGAAATTTCAATAATATGATTTTCAATAATATAGCGATTCTGTTATAATCACGCGATTGCTTAAAGTATTCAACTATAACAATTTCGCTGATCATCACAGAATTCTGTTTCAACTAGCGAGATTGTGTATGTATATCTATTACTATAGAATGATTATATCTGTGTGAAACTGGAAGCTTTCTAACCTCCCTCTTATTCTGTAAACTTATTAAATAAATCTAAAACCTTGATTTTATATTAATTACATATATATATTGAAAATCAATTACTAAAATCGTAAATACGTATTGATAAAGTCCTGCGATAGAAGAGTATATTGTTAAAAGAGTATATAGTAAAATAGTCTCGAAGATTTAATTCAGTCTTGAGGCTCTCTCGGCGTCTGCCAATATTTATTTCATTTGATTCTTTACATAATAAATCGGAGTTTATGTAAGTACAGTTATTGATACGGCAATTTAAACAATTATTACGTTAATAAAGTAATCAGTTTTAAGTTACTAGAAAAGTATAAATTTAATTAAATTATTATCGCATTGCACGTAAACTGCAAGATAACAATAAATATATATATCGAGTATACAACGATAATAAATAAATTTTAATGTTTCTCGTTGCAATGGTTACTCTAGGAATGTAAAAGATAATAATTATTAATTATAGTTTAATAACGTGACTGATTCTAATTTGCGGACATTTATTTCGTAAAAATAAATTATAACGCTACCAAAATGGACATGTCATAACGTTTACATAATAGATTCATTTTTCACAGCTTAATGTTATCCGATTATAATACGTTACCGATTTTCCGAGAGCAGACAATAAAATGGAGAACAAGTTACTATCACACGACGATATTACCAACAAGATTCATGCAGCATTCGCGCTTATCTACCGAAAATAACGTTGTAGAGTATAGCATAGAGAAGATACAATCTTAAAAAAATTGCGCGCAAAAACGTTATACAAATGTAGTACGAGGAATGATAATGATCTAATGTGTAAAAATAGTTGAGATGCGCAGTGTCGAGTATTAAATTATACTCTAATAACTTAAACTATACAGATGATGTTTACATGAGATAGAAACAGAGAGAGAGAGAGAGAGAGAGAGAGAGAGAGAGAGAGAGAAGAAGAGAAAGATAAACAGAGGACAAAGGAGAAAAAAGCAAAAACAAATTGTAGTAACAATTTTAAAACTAGAAATTTTCCTTAATGTAATTGTAATGAATCTATAACTCGCGTGAGGGAAACGTGATTGTCGCATTATCACGGAAAAAATTAATAACAAACAAATGCAATATGAAACAGTGTTGTGAGAAATTGTAACTAAATAAAGTATTAGCTAATTAAAATTTTAATGGTATGAATAAATCTCTTTCGGATATGGTACACTTGAATATATACGAAACTGCTTAATTTTGGCATACGCGGGTAATTTAATAATTTTTTTCTATACACTTTCCTTATTTATTGGTGATGTCCGCTTCTGTGCGATGCGGGCGACGATGAGACGCTATCTGAAAAACATAATACGCACATTAGATATTCTCGTTTTTCTTTGTCGACTTAATGCTAACTACTTATATTTTAGCAATATTTTAATAATTCTACAATTTCATACTTTGTAACTAACGCAAACTATATAAGGATTCTATCTTTCAGTTTTCGTTCGTTAGAAAACTTTCTATTATTTTAAAGAACTTGCTACTTCTTATCGAAATCAGTTCTTATAGTGTCCTAGTGTCCTTAAAGTGTTCTTACATCATAGTACTTATCCGTAGAAATTCACGTACCCATTGCTCGACTAAAGACGACAGAGGATAAAGATCATATTGTTGAGTGTCTTTGCGAGTCCGCATGAAAGATTGATCAGATCGCTCCCGAAATTCGTCGTTCGGAAGAACGTAGAATAACTCGTCGTTCGGCGATGGCACCTCGGATTCTTGAAAATTTTGGCTCATGCTTTCTTGCAAAGTGTTATGTCGTACAGTCGAGTCGAACCTTTTCCCATGGCCACCGAAACAAGAATGTCCAAACGCCGAACAACCACCTGTTGAAAAATTAATTTGTCGATATTACTTACGCGAGTTATTTGCCTTGCTGGTCAAGACAATAATTCGAAGTGTCCTGTATGTTATGTTAAATCCGCATAGAAAACATTTGTACTTTTATTTAAATATTTTTTACGTCGTTTGGTGCAAGCAAATGCTACGTAATATATTTAAAAATGTTGCTCTAAGCAACAACAATTATATACATTGTAATAGATATTACAACATTTAAAAATTTTTCTAGAATTGTATAACTTTTCATTAGAAAGAAAAATGAAAATTATATACATAAGAATCTAAAAATTGTTTTCAAATTCCCGAAAAGTTCTTGTGTAATTCATGATTCAATATCATTTTTTTTAATTCTTACCTTTTCGAAGTCTGCACTCGGTATTATTTTTTTTTTGTTCTGTGAAAGAAAATCAATGTTACAAAAAACAAAAATAAAAAAATTTTTGAAAGTTTTAGATCCCCATACTTTCTTATAAAGTAATTTTATGAAAAATATTAATTTTAATAATTTATAAGATGTAACAATCGAAAAGAAAGAGAGAAAAATAGAAAAAAATATTAAAAATAATAATTTTAAACTAAAAGTAATAAATATCAGTAAATAATACAATTTATACTGATTATATAGTGATAAAAATACTAGTGATAATACTAGTGATAAAAATATTTAATATCTGTTAACTTTTATTAAGAAGAAAGAAATATACATATTTATTTAAAAAGTTTCCTAACCATAAAGTTCTTTGTGTAATTTATTATAATTTTTTTAATTATACCTTTGTGAGTGAAGTTATTAATGTTGCTGCAGTCAGTACTATTTTCTTTTTGTGTGTGAATAAAAGCCAATGTTTACAAAAAAAAAACAAACAAATTTTTGAAAGTTTCTTAAATTCTTATACTGTTTTATAAAATAATTTTATAAAAACTATTAATTTCAATAACTTATAAAATATAACAATCGAAAAAAAACGGGAAAATAGAGAAAAATATTAAAAATAGTGATTTACTGATAGCAATAAATGTAAAATAAGTATCAATGAATAATACAGTTTATACCTGACTATAATGTAAAAAAATATTTAATATATGATATCTTTTATTAAAGTAAAAAATGTTTTACTACATATGTTTACTACATATTTATTTAAAAAGTTTTCTACTAAATTACAAAATAAATAACGACTTAACTATATACATTGTAGAGCAAAATAGGAAAACTTGATTTTTTTTCTATTGAAAAATAATGTTATATATGCTTCAGTAAATATTTTTTACAAAATATGTTTAGATATATAGAAGATGTAATTCCTTTAAAACAAGATTATATTTTTGGAAATGAATAATTGTCTCTTCTTTATTGATGCTAAACTTTATTTAATAATTTACGCTGAATGTGTTTATCTAGCAAATATTGGTTCATTTATGACGCCTAAGTTTAAACATATGCATTATTGCACGCCATATCCTTTCCATGCTAATTAATATCATAACGAATATGCAATTGCATTATTCATTTAAATCGAATTAGAACAGAGATAATTCAAAACTAATTATTTATATCATTCATATCATCCCACGATCTGAATCTCTTCCCACTTTCGAGCTCTTTTCCGATTATAAAACTAAAGGCACCAATGCATACATGCACATTTAATGTCAATGCACATGCACACTCAACAACATGCACATTCGAAGTCAATTTCCCAGGAAATCAATTTCTTCTATACTTCAGTCTATATATCGCAAATACAGTTGATCCACAATCATATATCTCGTAATTTAACGAAGCTAATACTCCTTAAACAAGTATAATATTATGAATTTTATTTTCTTAATAAAAATTATTTTTATGCTTTATTGCATTAATTTTTATGCTTAACCTTTTAATCATAATTTATTAAAAAGCTACAATTTATGAAAAAGCATAATATATATTACATTTAATATTTTTAAAATTCTATAAATAAAACCAAAAAATTTTAATGTAATTTAAAATGTATAGAGAAATTTTCATACATTTATATATGTATATATATATATATATATATATGTGTGTGTATTTCGTTGTTATGATCATTATATTAGAATTGGAAATTGGAAACTTAAAACGTTACTATCAAGAAGCTGATATATAAATTTAATTAATAAAAATAATATAATCTCATGGTTAATGATGTTTATAGTTTCTATAGATAAATATATTATTTAAATAATTTCAAGTAAATACATTCATTAAATTCCACGAAACACGATTATTTAATGAAAATATCAGGCAATAAATTTCTCACGATTAGTCATGAACAAAAGAGCAACAAACAATATCGATGAATATATAATTCATGATACGTGCCTCGTGTGCGAAGTTAAAATTACTTGCAAACGATAAAGGAACTTCGCTTCTTAAAGTCGTTCATTCAATTACTACCTGAAGCTGATTAATTGACCATCGGCTTCGACCTTCTTTTCCTCGCGCAATCGAGTGAAGCGTTTTTCCTTCTACGAGTTGTTACATTTTTAAAAGTTTCACAGACAGACGTAACCACAAAAGAAATTTTATTAAGCACCCACACTTCACCTCTATTTTTTAACGTAAATACATTATGTTGTTCTCGATAATGTAATCACGGCGGCAATTGCATATGTAATTTATTATTTATATTTATATTATTATTATTATTATTATTATTATCTTATGCTAAAAACAAACAGATGATAAAGTGAATCTCGCTAATTGTGTCAAGTGATCAAGTGATCATTGACTGATTCACTGATATGTTATTATTCACTGATTTTCATCAAGAAATTGATCAAGATTCACAATCATGCTGACCCGCCGATGCGACAGTTGTACTTCACTTAGGATGACAACAAACATGCCACTTTTGAGATAATATATTTGCGCGTGTCAAGCAGAATACGAGTATTTCGTGCCCGACCTTTTCAACGTACATTCGTTCGCACTTTAGCCGCACCTGGATTCATCATCGCTCACGAAAATGCGCGTCACGGCCGGACAATTCGAACTTCGATCTGAGCAGCCGCCACATTTACAGTGAAATGGACTGGCGTATCGCGTAATTTCATTCTATCTATCTGGTATAAATCTACCAAAGTGCACTTCACCGTGACACCGACGGTGCACGAGGATTCCGACATCCCATCTATAAAATCATCATTTTCGACTGACCTACCTGTTAGACATTTATATAATCTACAATGCACTAACGAGCTCACGAAAATCTAATGTGGAAACATCTTATTATAATTTTATTATTCAACATGATACATTTATATTAATTTATACTAGAAATTTAGAAATGCATAAGTAGATTTTAACTGTATAGCGTTTATGGATAGCCGAATAACATTACGAGATTTTTTTCTTTCTTATTTTTTCCTACCTTCTATTATCTTTATTTATCCTTATATATCTCTCTGTTTCATATTTTAAGCATCATTTAGAACTTATCATCATTAAGATTTTTTTTTTTAATACATTTCAAAAAACATAAAAATATAAAATAATATAAAAAGAGTTGAATAAAAAAATGTTGAATACGTTTCATCAAAAACATAGTAAGTAAAAGGAATTAGTGAGAAAAAAGAGATTGAAATTTGGAAATTTTTAAATAATTTCCCGTGCTCTTGTCACATCTTTGTAATCATATCTTCGACGTGTTGTCGAAATCCATCAAAACTGAGACTCGTTTCTTTTTGCGTAAAAAAGATTCAATAATTAAAAAAAAAACTGGAAATTGTTTGAAAATCTTGATTCCTCTTCTTCTACATATACGCTGTCACGCATTTGCAGTGTATTGCATTTCTGACAGAAGTTACTAAGAGAAAATTTTGAATAAGAATTTCTAGGTCAGTAACTTCACGTAAATGCGACACATTTCATCATTTCGTACATGCTTCGTACATGATTGTGTAGGTGTCATAGCATTATAGCCGTACCGTTATAGCATACATACACTTTGTTTCTCGCATATTTCTTAATTAAGTAGAGTTTACAAGCGTACATAAAATCTGATTAAAGAAATAGTCGTATACAAAAGTAAAGAGCATAATTCTTAAACGTATTTTAAAACATATGCGTTTTGTTTATCTCAAAGCTTTAGTAGGTGTCAGCGTTGACGGGGTAACGTTTATCGTTTCTCATTATTTACGGAATAAAAATAATGACAAAATGTAAACAAAATAAAAATAATGAGAAGGAATTAAGATGAAGTAATGATGAAAAAAAAGTAATGATCTTTTTTCAAAGGTAAAGCTATCTTTCTTTCAATAAAACCTTGATTTGCTTCTCGACGCAGATCGAAATAACATTGCGGCTATCAGCAATTTAATAAGACCCGCCAAGTTAAATGCTAACTTTTTTATTCAAAGCATTTTAAGTCGATGTTGTGCCGATCGACCGTCCGAAAGCAGAACGTGCGAAAATGTATTTGTCAAATCCACTTTAATGTTTCTATACAACGTTTATGATTATTGAAGGCTAAAGCTGTACATTTTAATAACGGTGTTCAAAATTAAACGCTTCAAAATTAAAATTGATATTTACGATAAGTATAGACAGGCGAACAATTGATATCAAACAAATTGAAAGCAACGCACGATTATATTAAGGGTTACTAAATACACGACCGTTAATTACGCAATATTAACCTGTTACACGCCTAAGGTTTCATTAGATGCTAACTACGATGCAATTTTCTCCACGAATACGGCTTTTATTACCGCATAACGTGAGTCAATTAATTTGCTAATTTTCAATATCTATAATTAGAACATATATATTAACAGTTTATAAGAGACTTGACATTTTCTAAAATAAATTTTGTTATTTTTAATAATTGTACTTCTCTAAGGAGTGAGTGTATTAATTAACATTTATCAACTAAATTAACAATTTATCTAAATCAATGCTAAAGTTTCCAGAAGCGAAACATTTAGTTTTATACTTAGCGATCGTTTCAAAAATTGCATAATCCCAAGAAAAACCCGAGAATTAATTAATATTTTTATTTTTATCTTTGTTATGCATAGTTTTGCCCCCGAATAATTTCTATCCCCACGCTAATCCTACGCTTGTACTACTTCTAGTACTAACTCACGTAAAGATTGATAACTAACATTACGGAAACGTGAGGAAACAGTGAATGCTATTATAACATTTCGTAGCCGCGAGAGTTAACGGATTTGACATTACAATGCTGCAAACGATAATTCGCTTTTACGTGTGAGTTTTGCGTAGAATAGCGAAACTTCGCGACAGCATCGCAGAAATAATCTATCGCTCGCGCCACCGAGACCCAAATAGAAGTTGAGCGAACGTATGCAGTCGTCAAATCTACTGTAACTATCTCAACTTTACATCGCGCATTGTTACAGTTTCAGTTACAAAAGCGGAAATAGAACGATTGCTGACACTAATCTAATTATATCCGTCTCGCATCTCGCATCCGAATACATTTTGCGATGCTAATAAATATCAGTCTCATCAAACGTAATTGTTTTTAAATAGTTTTAAATTGTTAAAATACAAACGGTATCTTTAAATAGAAATGTTTGACATTTTCTGTTATTTTATAATTGTCTTTCTTGAAATTTAATTCTGTTTTTGATGAAAATATTTTGAATATGTAAATAATTTTATTTAAAACATATAAGCAAATGAATTTGAAAGCGTTGAGCACCGTAAAAGTTCACGTATCTGCTTTAGAGGTTAATAATTAACCGTTTAACTAAAAGTTATTGTTAACAAATTATTGTCAACAGATTTTTTTATCATAGAGGATAAGTCAAAATCAAATTAGACTAATATAGAAATAATTAATTTATTAATAACGTGAACTCGTGATTTATTTTCACGAAACCGATGTTACTTTTCGTTACTTTAAACGCGAAAAATTTCTCACGATAAATAATGATAAATCAAAATCCTTAACATTTTATCGATTTATTAGCATACGCAGTGTGATTGCGATGGGAAAAGAGACATATCACAATTTCCAAAAAATTATATTTTTTCAACGCTCAGAAGTTCTTTGCATGACCGGTTTCGATGTTTTGTCTCTACAGAAAGTGGAAATGACCAATCAAATATCAGATCGACAAAACGATTCAATAGAATCGTGAAATATCGAAGCGTTGTTTAAATTATAGTTTTTTTTACAAAAGAACAAAGCTGGAAAATAGAGCTACTCGTAAACATTCCTAACAAACATACTTTTTTGACATTTTCGATCTATTTGCACTTGCTGTTTGACTATTGATGGATTATTTATTCGCTTGACGACGTACTTTTACGACGTCGTAGACGTAGAACATTTATTTTACTCTTAATAATTATTATTGATATTTAACCTATATATGTTATTCAACAATATGTTATTCAATTATTAATGTAATACTATTTTTATATAGCAACATCATTAATTTTTATCTAGTATCGGTGATAATACGGAGAGTATAACGTGACTTATTTAGAAAAGTTTTATTAATAAATATATTTATTAATAAATATATTACATTCTAAGTTGCAAGAAAAGTTTGTTCGAGCATTAAATAAGTTCACTTTGTTACAATTAAAAACAGATTATATTTGTTTTCAGTTTCTTCATACAAACAATGTAATTTGAAATAAACTTATTCAAGTGGACTGTACATTGTACTTAAATGACAGGCAAATGGGCGAATCTTTAATTAGACTTACACTCTTGCAAGATACTACTCAAATGTTCACAGAAACTTATCTGGACTTATCTGGACTCATTTTACAAAAAACAAAAGAAATCAGGTTTAATGAATCGATACTATCGAGAAAGTTTCGCGGATGAGTCATTGTGATATATAATTAAGAAAAGATATTAAAAAGCAACAATTAAATAAACATTACATAGAAATAATTATAAAACAATCATAATTGAAATTATTAAAACTTATGCCACGCAAGTAAAAGAGTTAAATCAGAAATAACAAGGATTGATAATCAAAATAATAATAATAAAAATATCAATGCGATTGATATTAGTCATGATTTATTAGATTGATTTAATCAAAATCATAATTCGTAAAATAATTTTAATTGTAGGTCATCATTGTACTCTATTAAAAATGCATTTTATAATCATAAGACCAACTTACAATATGCGCAAATGGAAACTAGTTTTACGGATTAAGTTATAAAAAGATAAGATAATGGAAAACAAACTCAACATCTGAAAGTTTTAAGACCTTAAGTCGGCAAGTTGATTAGCTCAAGAAAATCGTAAAGATATATAAAAAAAAATCGTATTTCATTTTCAATTCTCTAGTCTAAAAATAATACATCATTTTCATGTACTCAGCACATAATAATTTCGATACTTGTATAAGGTAGAACTTTTGAAAAACTAACTAAAATTAAAAAATTAAATTTTGTTATCTATTTTGTTATCTATTCTTATTGTTGAAGTTTAATGTGCAAAGATTTTTAAGAAAAAAAAAGTTTGAAATAATTTTAATAAATCTTTAATCATTTGAAATATATACAAATATAAAAAAAAAGAATAGAAAAAGGTGAAGACGTATTAAAAAAATTATATCTCATTAATATAATTAAAAAAAATCTTGGAAAGTATTTCTTTGCATATTGAAATGTTAAATTATCTGGCGGATAATAATTGCTATTCAACCATGTAATATCGTAAAAATATTGTTTATCGCTTTATCCAGTTCAAACACAAATTTATATCGAGATGATTCAATTTCGTCATGATGACTCATACTCTTCTCCGCGGCGTATTTTATAGTTATTGACGCATTATTTATTTCACGTTTTTAGAGGATTTCATTTATTTGCAAAAGGTTAGAATTAAATATGTAATTAAGAAATCCGAGCGAAATAATACTTACGCTTAGCGTGCGCCTTATCGGTGACGGAAATTAAAATCACGAACAAGACGATCGAGAGGTAGAGCGATAAAACGAGACCGGAAGTCGCGTTGGTCCTCATCCTGTCGCGGTCGTCGACGGCACGCTGCACTAGCAAAAGTGGTGAACCGAAAAAAAAAAACGGGGCTGCTCGATGCTCCTGCTTGTGCGATCGCGGATGACAGATGATACCGAGACGAGATGCTACCCCGTCGAGCAGGTGGTTGTGAATGAACGATGGTGGCGGCGCGCGTTCCCTCTTTTACAGGAACGGAAGCCGGAGTGGCGCAGTCGGATATCATCGTGGTGCATGCCGGGTATGCAAACGGCGGGATATCCGTGGGTGGCGGTGATATCTTCCAGGTGGTGATGGTGGTGGTGGTTGTGATCACGACGTTATCACAATGTGAACTTTGATGATAATCCCAGATACGGAGATTAACGTGAATACAGATTCTGGGGGAATCGCACGTGCCGAAAGGAGCCGCTTCAAGGCCGAGACAATTGACGTCTCGGACAATTTCGAGTAGGGTAGTTAGAAATTATAGTATTTCGTCATATAAGCGATTACCATAGCAGCATTACAGAGACTACATTCTTCTCACTGAAACTTAGCTCTACTCGTATACGTAATATTAAGTTTTACGGAAATTTGCAGTTGTAGAGAAAAGAATGATATTAGCTTCAGTTTCTTGAGAAATATATCATCTAGGTCATCGTTCACCAATCGCTGGCAATTCGATATTTACCCATATGGTTGAATTATTTTATTTGAAAATGTTAAAGATTATTGTAAAATATATATTTTCATTATGAAAAATAATTTCATATATGATAAATAATTTCATATATGTAGAATATCATATATGTAGAATGTAGAACAAATGTAAACTTTATGTGTGAATATAGAATTTAAGTATGAAATTTAAGTATGAAGTTTAAGTATGAAATATCTAAATATTTAAGTATGAAATATCTAAATATTTAAGTATGAAATATCTAATTTTATAATTAAATATTTTATTTTAAGAATAACATTTCTCATTCTAAAAATATCATTTTACTGTAACACATCAGATAAAATATTCAAATCTTCCTAACTGAGAATTTAGATTTTTCTCAATTTAAGAAGAAAACAATAATATATTGCGATAAGAAAATTAAAAAATTTTAAGTGATTGCATAATTTTAATATCTTCTTGCATGACTTTGATTTTTTTTGCATGAAGTAAGTAAGTGAATTTTTTCTTCAAAAAGTAAAAAGTATCTGTCGCAGCTGGTCAAACGTCAAAATTAATCATTTAATCAGGAATTATCATTTTTGTATTAGCGTATCAATATACATATTCCAAATTACCTTGCAATAATCAGTTCAACATTATGACCCATTTATCATGACTTTTCTTATAATATTATAAGCGATATTAATGAACTCAAAGAAGGACAGTGTGACTTCTGTTTGATATCCGATTCAAAATGAACTTTTCTTATCACGCAATAAAACTTTTTTAAGAAATTTTTTTCTTTCTTGAAATGTCAATCGACTTTATCGAATTATCGCTAATAATTATTGCCAATAATTATGCACAGTATTGAAATACGCGAGAAATATCATAAATATGATAAAGTGATCTTATACATTTCGTATGAATTGAGATGGGGGCTCTTTACGTCTGATTGAAGCGAGTCGATGGGACAATGCCATTGGAAAATTGTAATCGTCATGCTTTCAAATGTTGGATTTAATTGTTCGATATTTAATTATTCGATGCGTATGCACAACAATATTCGCACAACAGAAGAGAATCTTGACAAATGTATAATTAATAGTATTCGATAATGCCATGCCAATCATGGTCATCCTTGTCATCTCGTGGTCAATCGAATGCAAAATTTATCTGAAGGACCAATGCAAACGCTAGCGTTAATTAACTATCGTCCTAATTTTGTCGATATTATATATTACGATTATTATTATTCATTTTCTTTATGCTGCACGAAACTCGTGTGACTTGTAATTCAACATCTAGCAGCATTCTAATTTACTTCACCGTTACAAATCCATTACAAACTGCGTTTCTCAGTTTCAGTTTTACTTTGTCGAAATATGATAAGTTCTAACGTTGTAACGTAATTTTCGTATTTTATTTTAAAATAGAACACTTCATTATAATTAGATTCAAAATAATTATCGTAATCATCATTTCCTTTTAGTAACGCTAATATTACGTTAACAGTATCTAAGTAATCAAAAAAACTTTGATAAAATATTAAACATTAAATAACAATAGGAACCTAATAATAAAACGATAAAATGTACACAAAATATTGTGTTTATAATATTTGCAACAATATCTTTCACAAATTTATAATTTAGCCAATAGACTTTTAATTTTACCATTTTTATACCTATATTCTCTTTAGAACTTTCTCTCTCTCTCTCTCTTACATTTTTATATAAATTTATATAAATTTATATAAATACACTACAGATCGAGCAAGTTTAATTAAAGAGGAGCAGTGATATATTAAAATGTTATAATATTCTAAACAGCTTTTTGTGCTTTTTGTGTTATATATATGATTATGAAATGATATCGTGCTACAAATTCAAAGTGACATTACAATTGTAAAGACACGCATACGTATATGTTACACGACACATACACTTCCCACGTGCAGAAATCAAGATTGATGAGGAAAACCCCGGAAGACCGTCGCCAAACATTTTTCAACGTTATAAAATGCGTAACTGTATTCTGTAGTATTCTTTGAGTCACAATATTCTAGTTTTCGAGTTGAACTCTTCTCTTGTGTTTTGCAATGACATTTGTTTCGCGCGACGCGCAACGCCACTGTTATAAATTTCAACGTCTTGTGTTGTATCCGTCAAGCGATAATGATGATCAATTCAACATTAACATCCCGGCCTGACGCACGCGAGTGACCGTCCGCAAAAGTTATTACTCGCGTACGCAACGAATGTATAATCAAATTTATTTGCGATATCCCCGTGACGTGTATTAATGTTCAATACGCACAAATCAAACAATATTTTAGTTTAGAAATAAAAAATTAGACTAAAGACCGTTTTTATTCCTCGATGCAATAAAATTTTTTTTAGATTCGGATCATCAGTCTCCTTTTGTCTCTTTTTTTCTTTCTTCCTGTCTGTTCCCCTACAGGCTGAGAAATTAAGAATTCCGAATTCCTGATGATCTTTGAAATTGTTTCTTCCGCAGTAAGAATTTCTGAGTATACAAGGTAAATTCCCTGATGCTCCGATCTCGTTTTCTCGTTGTCAAGCGAAAGAAAGTCGTTACCATTAAGTGGAAACATCCTATAAGTGCATTTTAAATCAAATTGCATTCCACAGGCGTGTTTAAATGAAATTGCGACTTTGAGGGAGCGGACAAGAAATGTTCCTTTTATCTCCTTCTTTTTTAATATGTTAACGTATGTTAACGTAAGAATCTCGACCTGATTATCCTGACACTAACATTATCTAATCAATCTGTTATCATGTCACACTATTCCTTTCTTACAAAATATCATTATCCCATACAGAGAATTCCATTAATTACTGATGTACTTTTCATGGACAAGCGGAGTGGATTATATTGACTAGAAAAGTCCTGTGTTTCGAGATTTTTGCAACAATTAATGAGATATTAATTTATAAAAATCCGTAAACGACCATGCGACCGCAAGGCCGAGAGACAGCTCAACGTTATGCGCACTCAGACTTGCTAGATACATGGTAAAATGTTTGAAGATATGCACTATAATTAATATATATATGCTCTATCATTTGTAGATCATATTTCCAAATACTTTGTCGCGCTCCTAATAACGGTGATTCTTCGCACGATGTATTCTTGATTCATGAATTCTTATAATAAAAAAATATCTTATTATTAATTTTAAATTAACATCTTATTAACTATTACGAAAAAAATCATAAAATTTAAAATTACTTTTCTATTCGGTATAAGCTATTCTGCCTATCCTAGAACTGCGTCAGTAATTACAAGACTGTCTGATGTATTCCATATCAGCGACAAGATAGAAATATTCTAGATGTAATTATTTTATGCATGCTCACTTTTGTTCTTATAATAATTTATTCGATTTATATGAATACTACATTAATTATGCCGTAATGGATAATAATCCAAGATTAATCTTGTATTGACTTATAAGTTGATATCTAACTTTAAAACGCATTGTTTAAAAGACTAGATTCTTGCCCAAGAAATTTATCATTAAAATCAAATTATGATTTAATCAAATTATAATTTGAATCAAATTATAATTATAATTAGGTTACTATTCCGTTTATTATTTTTATATTTAGAATAAGTGGGATTGCAATAAAACAACAATTGTAATGCAAATAATAATCAAATCATGAAACTGAAACTTGTGTTACATTTGTAACAAATTTCACTTTAGGCGGATTTAATGGGACGTTTTTCGACGACAGTTTCTGTGCAATGCAAATGATAATAATCGTAGAAGCGAGCTTGAATTATATTTAAAATAAATTTTTACATTTTTAAACGGGGATATTTTTTAGTTTTTTAGTTTTTACAAAGCAATTCGAGGAAACAGCATCTTTCAAGTGGAAAATAGGACGACCGTGCTCGCGAAGTAGCTTTGATTCAAACTGATGAACTCAATACATCATTCGCCGCTTCATGACTGAAAGATTGAAAATACTTAAACAATAGCAAGATAATATTGAGCAAAGTTCGCGCATTGTTACAAACAGCGGTAACAGCGTCACGACTTACAAATCGAGACACGCTTCCAAGAAGCCGGAACTTACTTGTTCCGTGCCATCGATGGCAGAAATACAGACCACCCTTGTTCGAATGACGATAATGTTAAATCGAAATGAGAAAGCCGAGCTGAAACGTCAATCCTCATTTCTCATCTTTGCCGTTAATTATCTACATTTGATACGTAATAATATAAAATATTATATTCGTGATTTCAGTAACTAGAACTGTCGATATATTAATTTCTAGAAAAAAAAAAAAATAAAATAATCATGATTTCTATTTATATATTTATATTTCCTACAAACATGCATTTTAAAGCAATATATATAATCCAGTATATACAAACTCACTTTTAACTTTAATTTGATCGTGTCGGAGAATAATGCATTTTATATTCTTTCATTATTCTTTCATACAAAAATTTTATTTGTGTTTCTAGAGTTAATCTTAGATAATTAAAATTTTTGTT